GCATGCAGGACAAGCGCTCTACCACTGAGCCACCTTCCCAGCCCCTCTTAGGGCATTCTTGTGGAACTCTTTTTTTTTTTTTTTTTGCCAGTCATGGGGCCTGAACTCTGGGTCTGGGCACTGTCCCTCAGCTCTTCAGCTCAAGGCTAGCGCTCTACCACTGGAGCTACAGCGCCACTTCCAGCTTTTTCTGTTTATGTGGTGCTGAGGAATCGAACCCAGGGCCTCATACTTGCAAGGCAAGCACTCTACCACTGAGCCACCTTCCCAGCCCCTTGTGGAATGCTTTTAGATCACAGCTGGCAAGATACTACTTCCAGGTTTTTCTGTTTTGTTTTCTTACTAATTAAATGGAGATTGAGCCTCATGAACTTTTCTGTCCAGGCTAGCCTCAAATCTTGACCCTCAGATTTAGCCTTCTGAGTAGCTAGGATTACAGACATGAGCCACTGGCACCTAGCAGATTTCTGGTTTTAGATGAAGCCAATTCATTCTGACTTCAGAATTCAGTATTTGCAGGTCAAATGAAATATATCTATATGTCAAGTTGCCAGTAGCCTTTTTGGGGGGGGTATCCTTTTAATCTCCAATAGTCAGGTGAAGGGACAGTTTCCCAAGTCCCTAAGATCTGGGCCAATGAATGGCACAAGAGCGCACAGGAGAGGAGGTGCAGGTCTGGGAGGGAAGCAGATCTTGGCTTGGAGGCTCATAGGGAAAGAAACACAGGACACAGGTGTTTTGGGGTGATGACAGAGACTTTCCTGGGGAGACTAGAGAGAGGAACTCTGTGTGTGTGGGGGGGGGAGGGGAATCTACACTAGCTAGCCAGAACAGAATCCCTCCCCACAGTACCTTGTCCAGTGGCTGGTCCACAATGCCCAGGGGTTCCTTTAAGTCACAGCCCAAGTACTTCTCCCATATCACACACCCCCTTTTCAAGACCTCCAGACCCCCTGCTCCGACTCCCCTAGCAGGGAGGGTATTTGCCAGGGAAATGTAGCCAAATGGCCTCACCATCCACCAGCCTCACCACTGGCCTGGGCCTCAGAGAGGAAAAAGAATGCAAATTTCCCCAGCTTCCATGCTCAGAGCTCGGGGTGGAGGAGGTGGGGTCAGCAGAGGTCAGGCCCTCTGGGCTGCAGGAGTCACAGCGCTTCCTCTAGGTGGACCCAGTTGCAATCAGGAAAACATGCCCACCCATGCTTCTGCAGGAGGGAAGCCCCATTTTGAGAGGTGAGGAAGGAGGGGGTCAGGGCCTTCCCTGACGGACCCTGGTCTGGAAGGAGGCTGGGCCCCTCACCTGGGAGATGCAGCGCAGGTAGCGAACGGCCACTTCCCGGGCCAGCAGCCAGTCCCCGTCATAGATCTCAGGGCAGGGCACCCGTGCCAGCAGGCGGGCGAGCTCGGGGGCAGGGAGGCTGGGTGCCAGGCTGCCGTTACCCAGGGTGGCCACGGGCACTGCCGTGCAGAAGGCGCAGAGGAAGCACTTGCCATCCAGCAGCGTGACAGCGACCCACACGACAGGGGCGATGAGGGCGCGCTGCGCCATGGAACAGAACATGTAGCGAAGCACGGCGGGGTCCTTGGCCCGGCGGCCTGGGGGTCGTTTCCACTCCTCGGCCAACATGGACACATTGTTGTTCACGACCAGGCCCAGCAGGAAGAGTACCAGGGGAGGCGCCAGCAGAATGCCAGCACTGTAGGCTGCGTTGTAGCCTGGCAGGCAGGGGCAGTTGAAATCGAAGGCCGAGTACATCTGGGCACTGGCCAGTGCCATGATGCCGCAGATACCATTCATGAAGGACTCCTGGTTAGATTGCAGGAACTGGAAGATCATCCGGAATTTGTCCATCGTGTCTCCCACGGGAGTCTGTGGCCTCTTCCCGCCTCACGGCTACCTCCCAGATGCCTCTTGCGGCCTACCCTGCCCACTGGGCATCCGCCCCATGATTCTGTCCTCCTGACTGGGCCAGCAGCACTCAGGAAACTAGCCGAGGTCAGTGTTGCTTTGAAGAACCTTCTAGCCAGGTGCTGGCTGAGAGGGCACACTGCGGCCAATCCTGTGGGGGCAGCCAGGACTGTGCTCCTCCCCCCCCCCCACTTATCCAGCTGCTTCCTGCCCTCGGAAGCCACAGGCCACACCTGATGGGGACGGGTGATCTATGGGTACAGAAGGGAGGGGAAGAGGGCAGACTTGGGCTAGGGAAATGCTGTCTCCAGTGGCTCCACAATTGGAGAATCCATGATTGGGAAGCATGTCTTCTCTTTTTGCTCTTCCATGGAGGGGGGGAGGGTCATTCCTCCACTCTGTTGGGACCCCAAGGTTCAGATACCAATGGAATGATTGTGTGATGATGGCGGTGGTATGGGCGAGGGTGAGATACTGCTCCCAGCGGGGCGGGTGGGGGCTGTGCTAGTGGAGATGTGGGCATTTCAAAGGGTAAAAAGGTCCTGGACTTAGAGTCTAAGGACTTGGATCGGTCAGGTTGTCTGGGCAGTGACAGTGACCAGTAAGTATCATGCAGCTAGATGTCGTTTGTGTCTTTTTTCCATAAGTTGTGGATGACCAACACTTTCCTGGTTCATCTCTGACCTCTGCTTCCCCAGATTAAAAAAGATAGGGGTGGAGAGCCAGGTGTGGTGGTGTCCATTTGTAATTCCAGCACTTAGGAGGCTGAAGCAGGAGGATTGTGAGTGTGAGGCTAGTCTGGGCTAGTCAGTTTGAGACCAGCCTGACTTGTTTTTGAGAACCTGTCCCAATAAAACCAAAACTAGGACTAAGGGTGTAGCTAGTGGTAGAGTGCTTGCCTAGCAGACACACTCTAGGTTCAGCTCCTGAACCTCAAGGACAACAGTAAAGGGGGATCAAGGTGGGATTTCATGCCTTTCACCTCTACGGGTGGGGCCTTGGCAGTATCTGCAGGCCCAGGCCAGGCCCCACCATCCACTCATCAAAGGGGAGGGACGGGAGCAGCTCTTTGAAGTGAGCAGCTCTCCCTGAAGGGCAGGTCAGATCTGGCTCCAAGGGATGGCGCCTGTCTGGTGCAGGGGAGTGGGGGTGGAACTGAGGCAAAACCCAGACAGGGCGTGTCCATAGGGTCCTCAGATCTGTGCGTCCCTATGTTTGTGGCCAAGTGTGAGCTTGCCGTGGTCTGTAAGTGTATATACTACATAGGGGCCTTTGTGTCTGCACCTCTCTCTGGAGCTAGCTCTATGCAAAGCACCTTGCACGATGTGTAACCCGGATACAACCCTGTGGAATAGGCACTGGGATCCCCATTCTACAGCTAGAGGTCTCTCAGCTTGTGAGTGGAGAGGGGCTTAACTGCTCTCACAGGTGGAGCCTGTGGTGGAGAAGGGGGTGGAAACATCAACGTGTCCATGTGGGATACAGGTGAAGAATGTTGCCCCTCTCAGCATTCAGACTGGGCCTGGGTTAACTGGAGCCCCTAGGCTGGTGGTCCCCAGGAGACCCTTGTGAGGGGTTCCTCTGGGGGATATCCACAGGTGGGGAACTGTATGAGGGCGAGTCAGCAATGGAAGCAATGGTTATGTCTCCCACAATGCAGATGAGCATGGCTGACAGAGATCTAAGGGTTGTCAGAGCCTGGCACACATATAGAGGCTCTGTCTCTCTCTGTTTCTGTCTCTCTGTCTCTGTCTCCGTCTTTCTCTCTCTCTCTCTCTCTCTCTCTCTATATATATATATAGCTATACACATATATATATATGTATGTATGTATAGCTAGTTAGTTATGGAACTCTGGGTCTGGGCGCTGTCCCTCAGCTCTTCAGTCCAAGGCTAGTGCTCTACCACTTGAGCCACAGCACCACTTCCGGCTTTTTCTGATTCTGTGGTGCTGAGGAATTGAACCCACGGCCTCATGCATGCAAGGCAAGCACTCTACCATTGAGTGACTTTTCTTTTTTTTGGGGGGGGGGTCTGGTCGTGGGTCCTGAACTCTGGGCCTGGGCGCTGTCGCTCAGCTCTTCAGCTCAAGGCTAGTGCTCTACCACTTGAGCCACAGCGCCACTTCTGGCTTTTTTCTTTTTGCTTGTGTGGTGCTGGGGAATCCAACCCAGGGCCTCATGCATGCAAGACAAGCGCTCTACCACTGAGCTACCTTCCCAGCCCCATTGAGTGACTTTTCCAGTTGGTGTTTTTAAAAAATTATTTTATTAGCACTTCTTTAATTTAGTGATTTTTTTAAACTCTCAATTTCAATAGACTTTCCTGTGTGGGAGGCTAGTGCTCTACCACTTTGAGCCACAGTGCCATTTCTGGTTTTCTGGAGGTTAATTGGAGATAAGAGTCTCAGGGACTTTCCGGCCTGAGCTGGCTTTGAACTGCAATACTCGGATCTCAGTCTCCTGAGTAGCTAGGATGATAGGCATGAGCCACCAGTGCCCAGCTTAAATTTTTTTTTTTTATAACGAAAGCAATATGTTGCATTGCAACCACAAGTTTCTCATTTTGAGACATTTTAAAGTTTTCATTTGGATATTTTATATAGCCCAGTATATAATATCTTTCCTACTTTATATTTCTTTTTTCCCCCTTTTCAGCTTTCTTGATCAAGGCTGTTGCACCACCACTTGAGCCACTCCTCCTGTCCAGCATTTCGCTGGTTAATTGGAGATGAACTCTTGAAGACTTTTCTGTCTGAGCTGTCTTTGGACTAACAGTGATCCTCCATCCAAGTCTTAGCCTCCTTAGTAGCTTAGATTACAGGTGTGAGCTACCCATGCCTGGCCTGTATTTCATCTGTCTTATCATAATTATGTAAGATAAAATGTAATTGTTTTGTCTTGTTTTCCCTAGGTTCCATATGGATGTCTCCAATCCCCTGTTTGCCCCAGTGTCAAACCAATATCCTCACTGTACTAGACTGTTAGGATCCCTGTCTCTGAAGAGTAAAGAGATAAGGGAGGGAGCCTCAGAAGGTGGGAATGGGGGAGTGTTCATGAGTATAAGGCGAGGCAGTGACAAGAAGGAATATAAGAGTTCCTGGGAAGTTATGGTTGAACATTTGTGTTCCCCTAAAATTTATGTTCAAATAAACACCACTGCAAGGTGCCAGGATGTGGAATCTTCCGGAGATGAGAAGGTCACGAAGGTAGAAAGCACTCATAGTGCTTGCATGCCTGAGGCCCTGGGCTCGATTCCTCAGCACCACATAAGCGAAAAAGCCGCAAGTGGTGTTTTGGCTCAAGTGGTAAAGCGCTCACCTTGAGCTGAAGAGCTGAGGGACAGTGCCCAGGCCCAGAGTCCCAGCCCCACGACCAACCAAAAAAATAAAAATAAATAAAAGAAGTCAAAGAAAGCACTCATAAAGAGACCCCAAAAGTGGGCTTGGTGAGGTACACCTGTAATCTCAGCACTCTAAAGATGGAAACAACAAGACTGTGAGTTTGAGGATTGCCTGAGATCCAGTGAGACTGTAAAAAATCCCCCCCAACCCTTCAACAAACACACACACAAAACCACAATTTTTAAAAAATTTTTATTTAGTTTTTTATTGTGAAAATACTGTACAGAGGGATTACAAGTACATGGGCAAGGTAATGAGTACATTTCTTATCAAGCATTGTAGCCTCCTCCTTTGTTTCCCCTTCCCATCCCTTCCCATCCTCCCCCTGCCCCAAAACCACAATTTTTTAAACCAACCTTCAAACAGACATAAAGAAGCAAATAGAAATAAAGGGGCCTAGGAGTTGTCCTGCCCCCTCTCCACCAATGTCAGGACGCACTGAGGAGGTGGCCTTCTATAACTGGGAAGATGGCCCCTACCAGAACCCCACCCCGCTGGCACTCTGGTCCCGGATTTGCAGTCTCCACTTTGCTACATCCTAGCCAGGGACATCGGTTAAGTAACTGAACCTCTGGGTGCCTCAGCTTTCTCATCTGTGAAATACGGCAGATACAGAGCTCCCTCCAGGCCATTGCTAGGAGAACTTGATGAGATGATGCACAGGAAGATTCCTCACGGGAAGCTTTCTTTAGTCTTGCATTGAAAGTCTATGTGAGACCTCTCTTAGGGCGCTGCTCTCAGGGAGAGTGCCCCAGACCTTCAGGAAAATAGCTCATTTGCATCGGTGAAGGGGAGTGTGCTCAAGTGGGTGCCACCCTCCCCCCACTACCCAGCAGCCTGGTGGGGGGGGGGTGAAGATGGCAGCTGCAGCAGGGTGTGGCAGATCCCCTCAGGCTGTGATTGCAGGCATGGTCTTTTTTAGTGCCAGACCTCTTGGCTGGCAGAACATGTACTCTTCCCCTGAGCTCCACCCCGGCCCCAGGTTCCTGATTTTTTTTTTTATCTTGGTCAGTTGTAGGGTTTGAACTCTGGGCCTGGGCACTTGAGCTCTTCAGCTCAAGGTGAATGCTCTACCACTTGAGCCTCAGTACCACTTCCCATTTTCTGGTGGTTTATTGGAGATAAGAGTCTCCTGGACTTTTCTGCCCGGGCTGGCTATGAACCGCAAACCTCAGATCTCAGCCTCCTGAGTAGCTAGGATTACAGGCGTGAGCCACCGGTGCCCTGCTCAGGGTCCTGATTTTTTAAAAGAGGATGTGGCTATTCCTGTGGACAGGACACTGGGCAGTGGGCTGTGACATATGTGACGTATGACAGTGTTTGTCAGAGTCCATGTGTTTCCTCACGATTCCCAGCCTGACAGATTCCTGGGGTTACTCCCCCCCACCCCCTCTTACCACCTTCCTGCTCAACCTCCCCTGAGATGTGGACCTGGAAGCTACCTGTCCCCATATCTCTGTGACCACCCATTCCCCTCAGAAACCCCTCCACCTCTTAAGGGTGGCTCATTGGAAGCAACTGAGACTGTGGCCAACATTCT